ATGCACTTGAATCATCCTGAAATAATCCACCCCCCACCCAAGGTCTGTGGAAAAATTATCTTCCATGGAACCAGTCCCTGGTGCCAAAAAGGTTGGGGTCTGCTGTCTTAGAGGATGGATCTTAATGGAAGAAGGGATCTGTTTTTCCTTGTCATGGCTCGCCCTTTCTCCCCTGTACCATCCATACTTAAGTCTGGTACATGGCAGCCTTCTGCACAATTGTGTCTTGTCTCCCAGGCCTGTGTAGATAGGAAGTGGGTTTAGTAGCTGTATACACAGAAGCTTTCTTGGGAGTATTGTCATCGCTGTTTTGCCTTTGCTTTGTGGTGTTCTAAGCTTTGGTGAAATTCATCTGGAAGTACTGGTACCCAGTCTGAATCAGATCAGCTGTTAGAGTGGGACCCTTTGTTCCCTGGGGCTTCCCTGGCGGCTCAGATGGGAAAGAAACAGCCTGCAATGCTGGAGACCCAGGTTTGACCCCTGGGTTGGGAAGATCCCCTGGAGAAGAGAATGGCAACCCACTCCAGTATTCTTGCCTGGAGAATTCCATGGACAGAGGAGCCTGGTGAACTATGGTCCATGGGATCCCAAAGAGTTAGACATAACTGAGTGATTTTATTTCACTTTTTTGTTCCCTGTGAGCTTTGTTTAGCCCAGCTCAAGGGCCACGATACCCAAAACGGTTTCTGAGAAACTTCCATTCTGTAAATGCCTGATGAGTGTGATTACTTTCTTAGTATAAAAAAGTATGTGCGAGGCTGCAATGTGTATCTGTGTGGGTGTGTGGTCAGCATTCCTAGGAAAAGACAAGAGAAATCTAAGAGACTGAATTCACACTAGGTGCTGTGCTATGCTTAAGTCGCTCAGTCATGTCCAACTCTTTACGACCCCATAGACTAGTCACCAGGCTCCTCTGTCCATGGGAATTCTCCAGGCAAAAATGCTAGAGTGGGTTGCCATGCCGTCCTTCAGATCTTCCAACCCAGAGATTGAACCCAGGTCTCCCGCATTGCAGGCAGATTTTTTACCATCTGAACCACCAGGGAAGCTCAGTTAGGGCCAAATAAATAAGCCCTGATAAGTTTGAATTTGATCCTGAGGGTACTAGGGGGTGTTACTTTTTTGAACAGGGGAGTAAGAAGATGAAATATGTACCTCAGAGAAAGTATTCTACTGCTGGTGTGGAGAGTGAGCTGCAGGGAGCCAGAAGATGGGCAGGAAGCTAGGAAAGGAGGCTCTTGAAGACATCCAATGCTGGTGGCCTGGACTAAAAGTTTAGCAACTCTCTGTCACACATGGAGGTGGGTGGGGAGGCCCTACTGGTCTGATTCTGGGGGTTAAAATTAATATTGCCTGAGCCTGATTCTCCCCAGCTTGTCCACCTCTGCCTGACATAGATCCTTGTGGAAGTTGCATTAAGTCTCGTAGGCCACTGGAGTGCCGTTAAACTCCTGCTCCTGCATATGAAACGGAATGGAATCTCAGCCTGCAGTCAGCCAGTAAATGAGTGTAACTTCTGGTGAATTCCAGCTAATGTACAGTCGTCGAAGTAGCATGAAGTCTGGGAAATCACTTGGGTACCATTAAGAGTACTGAGCTGTGATTTACATGGTCAGACCCTAGTGGCCTATATGTGCCAATATAGCTTCCATGGTCTTTTCTACTTTGTTCCAGGGAATAAGTTATGGAACAAAAACATCCATTTTTAAAATATATTTTCTATATCTTATTCATTTTCTCAGTGGATGGGGATTATTGAGGTCAGTATTTACTGTTCAAAAATTTGTAGTATAAATAAAAGTAGCAAGTCATAACCCAAAAATGTGTAGTTTAAATGAAAGTTACAAGTCATAACCCAGAGTAATTTTTTTCTATCAAATATATATAATAAAGTTTGAAAAGTATTGATAGTCACACTCTTATCCACAATAAATTTGAGTTTTTTACAAGGAATTTTAAAAATGTTCATTATAAGTTTGTCATATATTTATATAGATTTCATAGTAATTTTCCCTGATATATAGATCTATAGAAGGAATACATTTGCCCAGGAAGTCCATTGTTTTTTTTTAAAAAAAAAAAAGCTAATGTTAACCTGATAAGCCTTCGAGGTTCAAGCCTGTATCTTAATCATTCTTCTTTCCTCATGTATTTATCACCATGAGCCCTATATTCAAAACTTTTAAAATGACTATGTGGTTGCCACATGCAGAGGAACAATATAAAAAACTTTTACAGTGATACTCCTACTTTCGTGGTAGAATAAGTATTAGTAGTATAATAACTTTCTGCTTCTCTATAATAGGTGTTCTGGGAACTTTGAACAACTGGTATTCCTAAAATTTACAAATGAGGAAACCTCAAATATGATTCTGTGATAACATTTAAACTATCTTAGGAAATATTTTCTTTTCTTAATAAAAATAGCAAGTCCTTGACTGGTTTTTCAAAGTGCGTAGTTACTTGATAAGTAGGTAGGAAAAGAATTTTAGATATGCAAGGATATTGCCATGCTTCTCTAGTTTGGGAAAGTCAAAAGAGGGAGAAGATACATAAATACAGTAGAAAATTTTAGAAAGGTTTACTGGGATAAACCGTAACAGTTCTGAATATTTGTGTGTTACTATGGCTTGTTTGCTAGATTCTCCAGAACTTCATTTGATCTGTTTAAGAAGCCTATGATATAGAGTTTTTGCAGCTAAGGAAATTATGTCTTAGAACAGTTAGGTGATTTTTCCAGAGTCCAAACAGCTCATAAGTAATGAACTGGAAACTCTACTGTTTTCTGACTTTTTAGCCAGTACTTAAATGTTCAGTAGTAAGTACATAGTTGATGTATATTAACTAGCATGTCGTACCTGAAGGCATCTGTGAATAGGTGGTTCACACTGAAGACATCCTCCTTAAACCACCAACACATTTACTGCCTAGCTCATTTGCCGCAAGTTTTGTTTTAAAGAATGGTTTTTCTGTTTACAAAAGTAACACAGGTTCTGAGTAGAAAATTTAAAAATGATCATTGGCTCCATGAATATTCTGTGACCATAGACTGCACCCCTCCATAGATTCTGAGACTTCTGTGCTTTTTGTAAATATTTTATGCTGTTAAAAATGTTTCAAATGAGATCACAAAAAACATTTTCATTGCTTAAGTTTTTGTTTTAAAAAATTAGTATGCAACTATTTCCAATGTTGTTAAATGTCATTATGATGCTTTTCAAAATGGATGCTTTTTCCATTTTCTGAATAATGTCTATTAAGGACTCGGGGTTACTTTCTGTGTTTGATTATTAGAAATAACACTGAAGAACATCTTTGCTAACTACCTCGTAGTATAGATCATATTTTTTTCTTAGAGTAAAAGCCTAGCGATATAATTACTGGGTTAAAATGGTATATAATATTCTTGACTATGACCAAATAGCCCAGTAGCTTGTCTTATTTAATTTTTTGTATGTTTGAATGCCATTTTTTACACATTTGCTAATCCCTGGCCTTTTAAAAATCTTCACTAAAATGGTAGTCAAAAATAGTATATTATTAAAGATACATGCACCTCTGTGTTCATAGCAGCACTATTCACAATATTCAAGCATAGAAACAAGCTAAATGTCCATTGACAGATGAATGGATAAGAAGATGGGATGTGTGTGTGTGTATATATACCTATACATATATATATATATACACACGCACACATATATATATAGTTGGTGATAGACAGGGAAACCTGGCATGCTACAGTCCATGAGGTCACAAAGAGTTGGATACGAATGAGCAACTGAACTGAATACACACACGCACGCGCACACACAGACACACACACACACAATGGAATACTCCTCAACCATAAAATAGAGTGAAATAATGCCATTTCAGCAACATGGATAGACCTGGAGATCATCATGCTAAAGGATGTACGTCAGAAAGAGAAAGACAAATGTCATATGATTTATATGTGGAATCTAAAATATGACACAAATGAACCTACCTATGAAATAGGAGCAGACTCACAGACGTAGAGAACAGACTTGTGGTTGCCGAGGGGACTGTGGGGTGAGCGAGGTATGGACTGAGGGTTTGGGATTAGCACATGGAAACTGTTTAATAGAATGGGTGAACAACAAGGTCCTACTGTATAGCACAGGGAACTAGATTCAATATCTTGAGATAAACCATAATAGAAAAGAATATAAAGAATATGTGTATATATATTACCTAGTCACTTTGCAGCAGAAATTAACCCAACATTGTTAATCAATTATACTTCAATAAAAAAAAACAGTATATTGTTGCTTTACATGACTAAACAAAAAGATAGTAAATCTGTTGAAGGAGAAAACTAAGATTTGCTTTTTGGTTTGAATCCTGTACAACTCTGCTGTTTGTTTTAGAGTACAGAGACATTCGACAAATAGAATATTACCTACACAGCACATGTTCCTCTCTGATCTTTGTTTTTATCAAATACTCCAAGTGCTTCCATTCACTCTTCTGTGAAATAAAATAATCAGCTTCTTCCATGGGCCATTCAGATAACAAGTGCCAGTTGGAAAGCATCTTGGGCTTTTGGAAGGAGCATCATAGTTTTTGAGCTAGCAGGAATTTTAAAGATCATCTAATCTGATCCCACTACTTTACAATAAGCATATTTAATGTAAAGCTGTGAAAATTCTATGCATTTTACAAATTGAAATGGAAAGCTAGGTGTCTGATATTTTAAACAAGTACCTAATTTTGTCCATAGTTTATGAGTTCCTCATGTCCTCAGAAATGTAAACCTCTTTACTTATGAATTCTCAGTTGTATAGTGATACTAAAATTGTCAACCGTTTTATGAAACCAGAATTTTAGCTACGGCAATTTATTCTGGTTTCAAGATAAACCAAATGCATTTGCAGTGAACCCCAGCTCTGCTTTATCTAAATAATAATTTCCTATAGACACATTACTCGACATGGCTTAGTCACTCATGTTTCTTTTCATTTTATTTTAGGTAGCAGTTTTACAACATCATCAGGATTATATACAGGAAATAATTCACTCACAAATTCCTCTGGATTTAACAGCTCACAGCAGGTAATTTTAAGAGCCATGTTGACTTCTGAAACTAAAAAAAAGTACAATAGATGATTTTCTTATATAAAGAAAGATCCATTTATATTGCACTATAATTGAGAGCTTTCTTAAACTTTCTGATAGATTTTTTTTTTCAAAAAATGTCTTTAGCATTCATTCCTATATGGTGAGTCATTTGGTTTTCAGATTGGTTAAATTTTACCTAATAATGCAACCTGAAATAGAAGAAATACGAAGAGGGAATCCAGTCTTACCTAAAATTGGTTTGCATGTCTTTGCACTTCAGTCAGTGTGTGCTTGTGTGTTCCTTTGTGAATTCAGAGAAGACAGAGATGCCAGCGTATTTACGGTTATACTCTGAAATGTAAGAAGGTAGCAGCTGTATTCTGACTGATTGTTCTTGTGTGGTTTAATTTGGTAGGACTATCCATCTTATCCCAGTTTCGGCCAGGGTCAGTATGCACAGTATTATAACAGCTCACCGTATCCAGCACATTACATGACGGGTAGCAACAGCAGTCCAACAACGCCGTCCACGAATGCCACTTACCAGCTTCAGGAGCCACCATCTGGCATTACCAGCCAAGCAGTTACAGATCCCGCAGCAGGTAATTACTTACCTTTTATTAGTCCTGCAGGCTGTATTTCTGATGGTTTAAATGTATTTTTCTATAGTCATATATTCATGACAATGGTTGCACACTTCTGGCAAGTTTTGGCAAGGCCTTTAGTCAAGCAGCATGATTGTGACATTAATTTTATTTTTACTTATTTGCTTAAAAGCTTTCATGTGAAGTTATAAACTTGAAAACACATGAAATAAGATGAGATATGATCTCATGTAAAAATACATGAGATTTTGTTTAGTTGTGCATGTACTCCATTTTCAGGGTATATATGTAGCTTTTTGGATGTATAATTATAAATATTTAGCTAGGATGCTTAACTGTAACTTTAAATGTGTTGACATATGAATATAAATGACATCATCTTGAATTTAATGTTTATCATCATGAAATAATGTTTTTCAAAAAATCAAATAGCCTCTAAGGATCAGTCATGGAAGACAGTGATTCTTTTGGCCTACCCTTTCCCACTCATGACCTACTGTGAATTTTATAGCAATGTTTCTGAGAGTGGGCATTTTTTGTACTTCTGCACAACATTTCGTGGTTGTTGTGCAATCACTAAGTCATGTCCCACTCTTTGCAATCTCATGACTGCCGCACGCCAGGCTTCCCTGTCTTTTACTGTCTCCCAGAGTTTGCTCAAACTCATGTCCATTGAGTCAGTGATGCCATTCAACCATCTCATCCTGTGTTATCCCCTTCTCCTGCCCTCAGTCTTTCCCAGCATCAAAATCTTTTCCAATGAGTTGGCTCTTTGCTTTAGGTGCCCAAAATACTGGAACTTCAGCATCGGTCCTTCCAGTCAATATTCAGGGTTGATTTCCTTTAGGATTGACTGATTTGATCTCCTTGCTGTTCAAGGGAATCTCAAGAGTCTTCTCCAGCACCACAGTGTATTTTATTTTTTTTAATTTATTGTAATTGGAGGCTAATTACTTTATAATATTGTAGTGGCTTTTACCATACACTGACATGAACCAGCCATGGGTGTACATGTGTTCCCCATCCTGATCCCCCCCCCACCTCCCTCCCCATCCCTTCCCTCAGGGTCATCCCAGTGCACCAGCCCTGAGCGCCCGTCTCATATATCGAACCTGATCTGGCGATCTGTTTCACATATGATAATATACATGTTTCAGTGCTATTCTCTCAGATCATCCCACCCTCGCCTTCTCCCACAGAGTCCAAAAGTCTGTTCTTTACATCTGTGTCTCTTTTGTTGTCTCGCATATAGGGTCATCGTTACCATCTTTCTAAATTCCATATATATGTGTTAACATACTGTATTGGTGTTTTTCGTTCTGACTTCCTTCACTCTGTATAATAGGCTCCAGTTTCATCCACCTCATTAGAACTGACTCATATGTATTCTTTTTAGTGGCTGAGTAATATTCCATTGTGTATATGTACCACAGCTTTCTTATCCATTCATCTGCCGATGGACATCTAGGTTGCTTCCATGTCCTGGCTATTATAAACAGTGCTGTGATGAACATTGGGGTGCACGTGTCTCTTTCAATTCTGGTTTCCTTGGTGTGTATGCCCAGCAGTGGGATTGCTGGGTCATATGGCAGTTCTATTTCCAGATTTTTAAGGAATCTCCACACTGTTCTCCATAGTGGCTGTACTAGTTTGCATTCCCACCAACAGTGTAAGAGGGTTCCCTTTTCTCCACACCCTCTCCAGCATTTATTGCTTGTAGACTTTTGGATAGCAGCCGTTCTGACTGGTGTGAGATGGTACCTCATTGTGATTTTGATTGGCATTCTCTGATAATGAGTGATGTTGAGCATCTTTTCATGTGTTTGTTAGCCATCTGTATGTCTTCTTTGGAGAAATGTCTGTTTAGTTCTTTGGCCCATTTTTTGATTGGGTCATTTATTTTTCTGGAATTGAGCTGCAGGAGTTTCTTGTATATTTTTGAGATTAATTCTTTGTCAGTTGTTTTGTTTGCTATTATTTTCTCCCATTCTGAAGGCTGTGTTTTCACCTTGTTTATAGTTTCCTTTGTTGTGCAAAAGCTTTTAAGTTTAATTAGGTCCCATTTGTTTATTTTTGGTTTTATTTCCATTACTCTGGGATGTGGATCATAGAGGATCCTGCTGTGATTTATGTCAGAGTGTTTTGCCTATGCTTTCCTCTAGGAGTTTTATAGTTTCTGGTCTTATGTTTAGATCTTTAATCCATTTTGGGTTTATTTTGTGTATGGTGTTAGAAAGTGTTCTAGTTTAATTCTTTTACAAATGGTTGACCAGTTTTCCCAACACCACTTGTTAAAGAGATTGTCTTTTTTCCATTGTATATTCTTGCCTCCTTCGTCAAAGATAAGGTGTCCATCGGTGCGTGGATTTATCTCTGGGCTTTCTATTTCAGCACCACAGTTTAAAAAGCATCAATTTCTTTGGCACTCTGCCTTCTTTATGGTCCACCTCTCACATCTGTACATGACTACCAGGAAAACCATAACCTTGACTAGATGGACCTTTGAAAGCAAAGTGATGTTTCTGTTTTTTAATATGCTATCTAGGCTTGTCATAGCTTTTCTTAAGGAGCAAGTGTACATTTGATGGGCCCTTTTAAATGAAAGTCTGTCTCCAAAAGTCTGTCTACTATGTCTTTAATACTTCTCCCCCTCCATTAATTTTTTCTGGAACTCTTATTAGTGTATGCTTAATTTTCTGAATTGGCCTCCATCTAGGTTTCTTACATTTTCTCTTGTACTTCTTGAATTCTTAACTTTTAAAAATGTCTGTCTATCTGTGCCAGGTCTTAGTTGCAGCACACGGGATCTTTTAGTTGTGCATGTGAACTTTTAATTGCAGCATGTGAGATCCATTTCCCTGACCAGGGATCGAACCCAGGCTCCCTGCATTGGGAGTGCAGAGTCTTAACCACTCTATTGCCACTGAAGTCTTGCATCCTTAACTTTTTAAAAATACAATCTTTCCTTTCATAGATTAGAAGTGAACTACCATCCTTAAAGAAGCCATGAGTATGTTCCCTTTGCCTTTTACTCCTAAAGCCAGAGCCCAGTCAGTCATATTAAAATGGTCTTACATTGTAACTCACTTCATGATATGATCAGAGTGTTAATTCTTGGTGGTTATCCCAAATCATGGTGAGAAGAAAGTTTTATGTAATAGATGCTGATTTAAATTTTGACTCTAGATTTACCTTGTAAATCTTAGCAGATGATCCTCCTCAAAACTCCTTTAAATGTTTAGTCGTTCTACTTTTTCTCTTAAATGGGTGTGGACACTGTTTTATTCGAGAGTAGGAAGTTAAATCATTCTTAATCTTGTATTCCAACTAACTGTAAACACAGTTTCTGCTGCATATCTCAACTCCAGATGTGTTTATCTTGATTATCGTATTCCACTTACCTTTATTTAAGAAAAAAATGAGCTTTTATCTTATGACATGGCTTATATGTGGAAACTTAAGAAAAAAATCCAAATGAACTTATTTCCAGATCAGAAAGAGACTCACAGACATAGAAAAGAAACTTATGATTGCCAGAGGGTGAAGTGGAGGTTGGAGAAGTAAGAAATTAGGAGGCTGGGATTAACTTATTATTATTAACTTATTAGGTAACTAGTAAGGACCTACTGCAAAGCACAGAAAACTATATTTGATATTTTGTAATAACTTATAAGGGAAGAGAATCTGAAGGAGAATATATATATATAAAATATGTAAGACATATATAAATAAGATGGAATCACTGTGCTAAATATATACATATGTGTGTGTGTGTATATTAGTACTGAATCACTGTGCCGTGCATCTGCAACTAACATTATATTGTCAATCAGCTATACTTCAATTTTTAAAAGTAGCTTGATATATTCACTCAGTTCATATATATAAAAACAGTGTTCATAGAACCTCATATATGTATTTTTCTGCCTTTTAATTAGATTGCACATCTGTATAATCCCACTTAAGTAAACTTTGTTATAAAAGGAATTGAATGTCTGGTAGAAGTTACTGTAGAAGTTTACTGTCTCTGCTTGTCACCTTGACTTCATGTAGGTATCAAGAGGAGAGAGAATGGTTTGTTGAAATTTAGAGATAACTTGTGTTTTTACATGAATCTTCTGGGTCATGAAAGGTTCTTGAGGACCAAAAGGAACTTTGAAACGAGGACAGATACGTGAATGTGAAACAGAAAAATTCTTCAGGGTCTGTGGAATAAGATACTGAGAAAAGGAGACAGCAGAATAATTTTACTTAATTCATGACATTTTGGTTGTGAAGAGCACAATATAAAACAACTGAAGACTTAATCATGTTTCTTAAGTTTGATTAGAGCTTTATAAAAAGGCCATTTGGACATATCATAAAACTTTCTCTCTGAAACTTGACGTTGTTCTAAGTGAATTTTGTTTATAAAAGGGATGCCATGTGAAAGAGTGGGGATTAGTGGGCACGAAGCCACACCAGATGGGGAAAAGTGTGAAATTATAATTTTTGAAAAGTATATATAATTTTATTTTAAGATTAATTGATTTAGGTTTTATTTGAATGTATGCTTAGTGTTCTGGGTACTTATTTCAATTTCAGTATCTTTATTGCTATAGAATAGGAATGAATTGAAGTGGAGAAAAAATAATATTTTTCAGATTTTTTTAATATTCATCACTTCCCACTAAAAATGTGTTTGCAGTGGGTCAACCTTTATTGTGTTACATAGTGAGGAGTGAAAAGTTGAGTGAGTTTACACATTGAAAAAGAAATGTGGATTACTTTAAAAATTCAAGGAAATTTTCATCTTTTTTTTAAACATTTGTGGTAAGACTGGATTCAGCCTAAGTTGTTTGGCATTCACTTTACTTTGTTACTAGTCATATAGAACATTATGGATGACAGGAGAGTATTGATGATAAAGTCTATAAAAATCATTAAGCTAAAGAATTAGAAGAATGATTTATTACATATAACCTAACATTTTTGATTTGAAACTGTAGTTAAAATAA